AATTTTCAACATACTTTCAATTTTTTTTCCTTGATTCCTTATTTTCTCTTTCAAATCTTTTTCCAACTAATCCTTCTTTTTCCTTTCATTTTTTATTTTTATCTATCATTCTTTATTTCACTTTCAATTTATCTTTACCCTCTATCTTTACATTTATCTCACCTCTCCCTATGTCTATATATCTACCTCTACCTTTATCTCAATCTGTATTTCTACATCTACTTATTTATATACGTATCTCTACCTTATTTTTCTCTTTCAATTTTTTTCCAACTCGAGGTAGAGTCGAGATACGAGGAAAAAAAACAATTAAGGAATAAAATTCACCGAGCAAAAATAGCTATAAATTTGGATGAAGAACAATTAGGAATTCTAAATTGGAAAAAAAAAATTAACTCAACAGAGAACAAAAAGAAAAAATAATTAAAAAAAAGGTTGAAAGAGAGGGGACAAAATGTAATTTCACATATAGATTAGACAGTAAAAGATTAGAAATAACAAATTTGTTAAAGAGCGAACATATCACAATTTCTTGTGGAAGATTCCCCTTTTAATTTGGAAGGTCATGTGATATTTGGCATCTTGTGTGTGGGAAATGTCATTTCTTTACACTGTTGCCTGTTCCCCTTTCTCATTTTCTCTCTGTCTACCTGTTTCTGACTATGCAATCCAACAAGATCAGTTAATACAAATATTAAACTAATTAAAGTTTATTGCTGATAAGATTTTCTTTCAAACTCTTTCATTTTTTATTTAATTAACATCACATCCATATAAGACTACTGTTGTTGATTGAATTAATGTTTTCTCAGAGATATTGGTATTTTGCATTCCCCTCCCTAAGTTTCACTTTTCAAAAATAATAAAAGGGTTGAATTTCAAAAATCAAATGAATTTCCCGCCATCGTATCACTGCTAAAATTTTTACTTTCGATAATGGTGAGACGTTATCAAAAGCATATTTTTTCATGTATTTTTCTATTTGACCATATCAAATAAACAATGAACATGATGGTAGAGAAAAAGAAAAGTGTCATTACTAAATTAGCTGTGATAAGAAAAGATTTGTTAACGACAACTTCTAACTGTCACAAAAACTATTTTTATGACAGTTGAACATTTTCAAGATAAAAAAAATCAATAAAATTTATTTTACCGTCGAGACAAATTTAATAAAGACAGATTATTATTGTCTGAAAACCTTTATAGTGGCCACTTAATTTTCAAGAAAATGTTGATAATGTCAATGTATTGTTATCGAGAAATTATTAACTATGACTATTTTTTGTATCACAACTGTTTTGAATGAAGGATTCTAATCGTTAAGAAAAGTTTGTACGACAATAGTTTTGAATGTCATATAAAGGCCTTTTTTTTTAGTACAATATATGGGGTGAGGGATTGCTCTTGATTGGAGATATATGTCAATTACCGTTAAGTTATGCTTACTCTGGCGCGTAAAGGCTTTTAATAACATTGTTTTAGTATCACACAAATTCTTTTAATGACACTACCCACCAACCGATTTCTATAATTTTTAGAACCTGTCATAAATAAATAATTTGTGACTGTTTCAAACAATTCACATAAAATATTTCACGAAACAAATAAATCATGATTATTTCAAACCGTCACATAGCATATTTCAATTTATTAAGATATTTAGTAATTCAGGTTGTAGATTCGAATATTCACCCCAATCTCTTATTTTCTCTCCCTATACATACATTTTGTTATTTTTACTTTAAAATATTTCTTTTGGTTCCTAAATTTTATATAAAAATTTGTTCCAATCTTTATCAACAATGGCCAAATATAATTGGTAACGTGGTAAGTTTGATTCTTATACTTTAAACGACATTTCATCTATTTAATCCTAAAATTAGAAAAAAAAACATTTCAGTTACATCTTTAAACTTTAAATTATACCTACTTTTAGTCTCTCAATCATTAACATTAATTGATTGAGTGTAACGTGACACTTTATTAGATAAAATGTCGACTAAAATGCTCCAAAAGCTAGTTGGACGATTTACAAATGAATGGTCTAAGTACTTATTAAGGTTTAATTAGATTTGAGAGGGTTGGTTGATCGGATCACATATGTTAAAATTTTCTACGATTAAATGTATTTGTCAATTTGTGTTCCTTCATCCATAAAAAATCTACGATCCATTAAACTTATTGTAAGATCATATCACCTCACGCGCAAATTTTATTTGGATAGAAATTAAAGAAAATAATAGTTTCAATAAAATTCAAGGACTAAATATACATTGTTTAAAGACCAAATTTATAATTTAAAACTCAAAACAATTTATATAAGTTCGTGGGACTATATACAATATAAAGATCCTCCAAACAATATATAGCGAAAAATGTTAAAACCCGAGAGAAAATTTTAACTCAATATAGGATCAATTGGATTCATGATCATCAACTAGAGGGTCATCTCTAGCTAATTCTTACAAGCAAGAACTAAAGTTCTATATTTGGATCATCTCATATAGGATTGATTAGTACATAGCTCCCACCATTAGGAATTTCCATAATTGAATCATCCCAATTTCTTTTCTCTTTTATTATAGGGTTTAAAATGCGAGAGGATCTGGTTCTTGTGGCTTTGTTACTTCATTTTCAGCTCTATTTTTTGTCCAAAAAGTAGCCCAATTTGTTCTTCTTTACGAAGAAAAAGGTTGTACGTTGGCCATCATTAGCATTATAAAAAAGGCAAATGTTATAAAAGCCACGTTTCTCTGCCAGTGGGGAAGCCCTTTACTTTACTGCCCAATCAAACAAATGGGATTTGGAATTCACCATTTTTCTCTTTTGCTCCAACATTCTCTATTTCCCTTCTTCATCTCTTCTTGCTTTCATTGTATACCTTAAAATTATCATAATTGTGTGTTTATCTCTACTTTAAAAAGTTTAAATAGTTCGACGTGTTTGACGCTACTTAAACGGTGAGACATATTTATTGGAGAAGCACCGAGTTCATTCTATATAGTTTCGAAATCTTCCTATTACACATACGTATATTGTCTCTCTATGTATGGTTTTGTGACTATTTAGTTTGTTGCAATTCTTGTCCTTAAAGTAAGAATTATGATTTGATATAGTTCACACATCTTCAACTCTACTAACTAAATGATGACATGACATAGCTACTGGATAAAAATATTAGTTTGTTTGACACGACGTGGAAATAAAGTGGCCAAAAACATAAAATCGTGCCTAAGTCTCTATTTTGTCCAATTTATCTACTTGACCAACATGTTACACATTCATCCAATATGCATGCTACACTCATTTCATAGTGCACTGGATTAATATAAAAATTACACCATCAAAACATACTGAAACTTAGGAACTAAATAAAGACGGATCACTAAATTTTCAAATTTAACCTTCATTCTAATAAGAAAGAGAGGAAAATTAAATTAATCCCACTATAGACAACAATAATTATTATACAAATTTAAAATTCCCCATTACATTTTGCCCCTCTAGTGCCTCTTCAGGCACATGTAATGCAAATCTGACTTACATCAGTGTCAAAGTTGCTTGCTTTTTTGTGCCAACTTTTTTATCCCTTTTGAACTGTATTGGATTATATGCTTATTGAAGATTATGACCCATTTTCTTCTTCCTTCTTCAATTTTCCACATCTGTGCTACTACTGCCTCCATCATCATCATCTTCTTCTTCTTCCTCTTCTTCTTGTTCATGAATTCCTTCACCATTTACCATGATTTGATTAGGCTGCAATGGAGGAGGTGGCCATTGTTGCTCTGGCTCAACCATCAATGGCTCCATTTGGCTATTGATGTCAAAAGTTGTGTTTTTTTCTTTCTCTTTGTATAGAGCATCCAATTGGTGGAAGTAGGGACATGTCTTGGAATCTTCTGGCCTCTTCTTGTTGCTGTCTTTGACCTTCTTGAAGTATTTGTTTATGTTCTCCCATTTCTCTTTGCACCTCTTTGAGCTTCTGTTGTATCCAAGCCCTCTCATGGCTGCTGAAATCTCTTCCCATAATAGCCCTTTTGGCCCATTCTGATCTTGGTACTTCATTTCCATCTCTGTCCTCAGCCTTATTAGTGCTTCCACTTCAGTCTTTGGCCATCTTGACGATGGACTGTTTCCTACAGCGGTGGTCACCTTTTCTTTCTCGTCGTGGTTCTGCAGCTGACCTGACTGCAGCTGCGACTGCGGCGGTAGTGGTGATGAGAATGGGAATGGAGAAGGGGATATTTTTTGTAGAAATGCTACGACGGCGGCGTCTTTGGCGGCAGCGACCGACATCTCTTGGACGAGAACTTCGTGTTCTTGATTCACCCTTGTCAGCTCTTTCATTCTCCATGCTTCATCTCTCAACTTCCTTTGATTCTCAATTCTCTCCAATGCTTCTAAGAACTTGAGTTGGAGCCCCTCTTGCTTCTCTATCACCTCCTTTGTTAGCCTCACGAAGAAATCACTCCACTTCCTCTTCCTCCTCTTCCTCCTCCGGCTCCGAAACGGGTCTTCCTCCGACGCGGTCGACGACGAAGTCGAGCTCGAAAACATCACATTGGCGGCCATTTTTGGCAAATTGGAAAGTGGGATGGAGGACTTGGGTGGCAAGGAGTTGTTGTTTGTTGTGTTGTTCATGGTCGATGGAACAGTAGTAGATGTGACTATTTTCGCCGGAGGATTGTAAGGCGGAACCGTCACCGTCACCGTCGTCGTCATCGGCCGAGGAATTGGCAGCGGCGGTGCCGGTGCTGGGTGGTGGTGAGATTGAAATGAAATGTGATTGTGATGATGATGATTGCCAAAAGCCTCCAATTCATCGGAAAATCTATACACCTTTTTGCTATTATCGGATTTCCCACTTCGGCCTTCTTTGGTTCTTTTGTGATACTTATAAACATTCTCGAATTTTTCCTTGCATTTCTTTGGAGTCCGATTGAATCCAAGCTCTCCCAACTTCCTGAAATCTCACTCAAATAGAAAAAAAGAAGGAAATTAAAAAAAAAAACAGACAACCCATGTTAGAAGATGCCATATAGATCAAATTGGTCACTTTTTTTCTTCCCATTTCATGTGAATTTACCAAGATTCGAAACCCAAAAAATAGTGGTCCAAATACACACAAAAATATATTATAAAATATGATAATTAAATGATAGTATAACGAATAAGATGAATAACAAAATAACAAAATTAACAAATCCAATGAAAGAATCATCATGGTCTCTCTTTGATCCAAAAAACTCCACCAAATTAAAACAAATCACAAGATTAGAAAGAGAGTAAATAAAAAAAAGAAAAAAAGGTAAAAATCACACCTTGAAACTTCATCCCATAATGGAGCTTTATGAGTTGCGTCTCTAAAAACTGCATCCATATCGGATCTTATCTTCAACAGAGCCAAGGTCTCCGGCCGAGGCCACCGGTTGCCGCCGTAATTGTTCTTGTCGCCTTCTTCGCCGGAATTCGACCCGCCGCCGCCGCCACCAGCTTCGTCATGAGCTTCTTCTTCTTCCACAGCTTCGGCGGGCGGTGGTGCCGCCTCGCCGGAGCTGGCCAGAAGGGTGGAGTCGCCATCCATGGGAGTCTCTATAGCTAATTATTAAGACCCACGAGAGAAGAAAATGGGAACACAAAAGCCAGAAGGGATGAAGATCAAATTTTGGGTTTTTTTTTTTTCTTTTTGGTTGAAGCTTTTATTAGGTTAGTTATTGGATATGAGAGAGAGATTTTTATACATATGGTGAATTTTTTTTAATTAATTGTTTATCCTTTGGTGGGATATGCCTGTCATGATCAATGGCCCCCCAACCCCATAAAAAATAAATAATAATAATAATAGAAAATAAAATGTAAAATATATATATATTTTTTTTTAATTTTATGCTTAATTAGGTCATAGAATCTTAGACTTCTTTTTCCTTTTTATGGGGAGGGGTTACAGAAACCAATCATAAGACCCACTTGGGTTTTCTTAAGTTTAAAAAAAATTAAAAAATTCTACCCAATTAGGTTTCGGGTTTAGGTCTTATGTTTGCATTTCAACTTGGAAGTTTAGGACTTTCAAAGATTACTAATTCGATTTGATAATTATTTTATTTTTTATTTTTTATTTGGAAAATTTTAGCTTGGCTGCTACTCTCACCTATGTAATTTCTTTGTATCATCAATTTCTTTAAAATGGTTTCGAAATTTAAACAAAAAAATAAAAATAAAACTAAAAAAGTAGTTTTGAAAAATATATTTTTGTTTTTAAAATTTAACTAAGAATTTAAATATGTTTAGGAATAGAAAAATATTTATATAAAAACCAGCATAATTTTTAAAAACTAAAAATAAAATTGCTATCCAACAAAACTTTTTTAATACTTAGAACTTTTAAAACACAATTATTTTAATTAGTCCTTAATTCTGTCACTCAATATTTAATTTTAAGTTGTAAAATTCTAAGTCTTATTGCAATTTGAACATATTTAACTAAAGTTTTTTTTACCCTTTTTTTTTACTTATCCTAATAACTACTAACGTTAATCTTTAAACTTGAGTTCAGATTTTTTTTAGTACAACATATGGAGGTGTAATATTCGAACTTAGACATGGGTGTTTAACCTGTTGCTCAGGTGGGTAAATTCGGAATTGGAAAAGGAAATTAAAATGTGAAAAAGAAAAAAGAAAAAAAAAGGAAATTGTTAGTTGGAAGTGGTAACAGTTAATAGATGGATAACAAAACAAGTTGGCCCATTGTAGGTCACCTTTGCTTTATGGAGGTGCGTTTTGGATACCATTGGGTATGTTTGGCTATACTTGAACCCAAATGACCAAATTGCCCCTCACTTTTCATTTTATGACTTTTAATCTTCTCAAGTCTTTTAACTGCCCTCAATATTATTCAAACTTCCCAATCATTTCCCAAGTTGGATGATAATTCCTAAAATGCCCTTCGTTGTGGGGGTGAAAAGGGAATATAATAATTTATACATTTTTAGCAAAAGGGATTTTCTTTGGGATATAAATTTGAGACAATGAAGGTGTTGAAAATTTGATCCTATAGGTTCGAGAATCTTATTTCCTGCTTTTTTATTTTCTTACTAATATATTTTACTAATATTACTAAATATATTTAAAAATTTTACATTCTGAAATTAAAATGTAGAGGAAATTAATTTCCTAATTTCATTTAATTTTTTTTAATAATGTAAGAATGGAAAGCATAAAAAACATTACAAAGAAAATAATTAAATTTTTTGGAGACAATGATGTGGACGGGCATGGTTTGGGGTCAAGGTAGAGAATATATTCTCATCCCGTCTGTAAAATTACATAATTCTTTAATTTTATTTTTGGTATCTGTTTTTCTTAGAATGAATTAATTTAATTTTTTAATTTTTTTTTTCTATCACAATTTTGACATGACATAACATTGTACATTTAATAAAATCTTTTAAACGTAGTCATATTTTAGTTTCCGTTGGATACAATAATTACTTTTTAAAAGAATAAGAATTAAAATGAAAATTTTGAAAGTACAAAATTAAAATAAATCAAAATAAAAAATATAAAGATTAAAATGAATCATTTGAGATGAAGTTAAATCATACATTAAATTAAACATTAAAATTAAAAGTATGAAAGTGGGGTGGGATGTTGTTTGAACATACAAGTCGATGGAATTGTTTGGCCAAACAAAAAAAATTATGAAAGGAAATTTAAATAGCGACCAATTTAGTTAGCTTGTGACCTACCATAATTAATGGCCATCGCAAATTTTAATGCTAAAGCCATTATTTTCTTTTCTCAATTTTAATTAATTAAAACTTGTATGACTTTCAGTCACCATATATTTCATTATATGAGATATTTTTTCATAAGAATTCAAAATCAATTTTCAAAAAGAAAGAAAGAAAAAAAAAAGGCACGCTTCACTAGTACAAATTTGGACTTTAATGACAGACAATGTCTATCGTTAAAAGATTGTTCGATATCGTTTCGATTATTATTATATGTCTAAATGACGGGTAGCTTTTAAAGTTTGATCATTACCGGTCATTATATTTGTTGTATTGTTAATACAAAATTTATAACGCAGAGGATTTTTTCTTATATTTGGACAAAATTACCATTTTGATAGGATACTTGATTTTATGGCTATCATGAAAGTGTATTTTAGACAGATATATTTTGATGTCAAATTCATGCCTTTAAAGTATTTTATGTTTGTTTTGACTAAATTTTCGATAACTTTTTCAAATGATTTTAGGTAAATTATTTAACTTGTTCTAAAAGATAGTATTAATTTTACCACTTATTTTACCAAGAGTCTAAATTTGAAGAGCATTAAGACGTCTATTAATTTTTCATTATTTTTCCTTAGCTAGACACCCAACAAGGTTATATTATATTTATCCTTTATTCAAATATGGATTATTTGTTGTTACATGGTAAATTTAAAAAAAAATTAAAAAATCCTTAACTATTTCACAAAAATATGTAATTTGTCACATTGAACATAAAGACATATATCTTCGACTAAAAAAGTTGGAGATTTAAATTTTCAGTCGTGCAGTAAACTAAACTAAAAAAAGGTTCTATTCACATGTAAATATATTAAAATAATAGTCTTATTTATAAATAGGTTGTACACATGAAATCAATAAAAGGTGGAATGGAATAATAACTAGACAATATGCCAAGTTAGTTGAGAAATCCCTCTTGATTTGATGTGAAGGCAAAAAATATATATATATAAAAAAAACACTATTATTCTAGATAAAATAGGTGCCTAATTTCAAACTCACATTTAAATAATACATCTTAATAATATAAATTATCATGAACTTTATAAAATTTGATTAATTAAATTAATTGGTTAAATAAAATATGTTAAAAAGGCAAAGAGAAGAGGTTTCACTAATTGAAAATTCGAATGGTAGAAGGACCCCACTACGTGCTTAGAAGTGGACTTTAATGATCAAAGGTAATATTTTTATTAAATTAGTTGAAAACAATTTAATTTGTTTAATTTTTGAACTCAACTTATCATTATGAGTGTGTTAGGAGACAATGAGGTTAATAATTGAGAGCAAACAAAAAAAGATAAAATAAAATAAGAGGATTAATAGTTTTCATTGATTCAATTTTATAATCAATATGTCAATTATTGAATGGAAGAACAAAATAGTTGGCTAGACTTTATGATTAATAATAATAATAATGCAAGACGGTGAGACCCTTATTACAACGAGAATAAATATATATTTAGCTCAATTAATTCAGGTATATATCATGAATTAAAAAATCGTGATTATTTTTTCTTTTAACATAATTCAACTATTAAGCATTTATCTCGTGAGTTCAAACTCTCAGTTCACATGCTATACTAAAAAAATCATAATAATAATTATACAATTAGTAGTGCTCGCTCAAATTTGAACAAAGTTAAAATTATATTTGATTTCTTGTGAATTTACAACATATTCACATATTAACTTAAATTATAATTTTATTTATTTTCGTAAATTTCTCAACTTTTAAAAGTTTCCAGTAGATCTCTAAACTCTTTACGAGTATCTAAATAAGACTTTGAACTTTCAATATTATATTTTTGGTCTCTGACTTTAATCATTATTTTAATATTCATGAAACTATTGTATATAGTAGGATACTGACTTTTCAATATTATTTCTAATAAATTCATGAATTTTTTAAACAAAATCTAATAATAAAGTTAAGGACCTAGTAGACACTTTATAAGAGGTATGATATTCAATTTAATCTAATTATTACCACGAGAGAATTACAAAAATACGATATTAGATTTGCATGCCTATTTTCAAATCTATAAGAAAAAAAAAATTAAAAGTAGAGAAACTAATTAACCCTTAAGAAATCACACCCTCTATATTTATTTTGTTAAAGCAGGACATACTTTATAAAGATACATTATTTTATAATATCATATCATATGGTGAAAATTATATATAAATATACATTATGTTTTGCGTAGCTGGAATTATTCCAAAAGAGCCCCAAAGTTTTAAAATAACTGTGAGAGACGTAATTAATTAATTAATTAAACACAATAAGTGTGTGAAGGGGAATTAAAAGATTGCTTGTATTGAAAGACAGGGCACTGATTTAACTGGGTTTGTTTTATGTCTCTCTCCTTTTTTAATTGCTTTGCTGGTACGTACCATTTTTTTTGGCTGGAATCAGATTCATCACCCACACACATATCTCTCTACCGTTTTCTTTTTACTCGTGAGTGTTCGGACCATTTTATACGTACCTCGATTAATCTCACGAAATAACTGCCTGACACTACAGTATTTGGTGTCGGAAAACACATAGAGATTAATTTTTAAGATAGGTGATCATCATGGATCTACAAATTTTTGTTTACTCTGTCCATAAATTTGTTAAATGATAAGTGTAGTCTCTAAAGTTTTAAGATTGTCGAAGTTTAATTGGGAGGTGTCTAATAAGTTCCCAAACTTCTAATCATGTGTTTGAAGTGTCGGTATTGATGAATACGTCGAAGTCTCAATTTTGTGGAAATATTAATAAAAGGTGGATCGATAAATATTTCTAGAAAAATTCATAACAAATAAACAAATCACATTTTTTAAATAAGTTAAAAATTAATAATATTAATAATATGTCTATCGTAGTGATGTATTTTGTATTTTTTTTGGGATACTGTAGAC